AAAAAAAGGCTGTCAGGTGCCGTGGCCTAGGTTTCTCACTGAAAATCCTCGTCCCCCGGAGGCACCTTTTTTTGAATTTTCTTCCTTTTCAACGCCGCTTTTCGGGGATTTCGGATTTTCTTTGAATTTTTTCGCAATAATATTTGAAAAATAGATAAATTTTAACACATTTTAATGCAATAAAAATTTCTGGCCGGAGTCCCCCTTTAACTGAATTTTAACTGATAATTTTCATCATAATATCAGAAGTGTTTTGTCAGTTGACAAAATTTCGATATCTCTCATAGGAGCCGAGATAATAGAGCTCACAACTGACGGATTCGGTAGGCTTCTGTTACAGTAAAGAAACAAGAAAAAAACCTACAGCAATCCAAGTTCAGCCATTCCCATCCAACAAATATAGGTCACTGGCAGGTATCCGAAATGATCCATTCGTTTCTTTCGAAGGAAGAAAATTACCAGAGGAAGAGTAATGACTAGTGCGGAAAGGACCACCCAAAAATTGGTTAGGTAGTAAAGACCGAGACCGGTTCCAATCAAGATTCCTGAAAATTCATGTTTCAACTAATTGATAAAATGAAGTATTTTCTGAAGGACTTGATCAGTCATCCAACTTCGCTTTTGACAAAATACTAAACTTGCCTGAAATAGAAGCTGTGAAAAATTGCATCAAAAACCATTTAGACGTTATCAGTTCGTATTTTGATCCTTGTTCTCGGACTCTTCTAGACTCCACATGATCTGAAAATTTTTGTAATTCGCTTCTAAATTTTTTTGACCTCAATACCTCTGACATGTTTTCCAAACTTTTCATTCACCAGATCATACGGCGTCTGTCCATTCTTATTCTTCTTCTCTTCATCCGCCCCCGCACAGATCAACTCAACGGCTCCGGTGAGATTCTGTCGGAGCATTGACACGTGGAGAGCAGTATCACCCGTATCATCTGATGTAAAGTCTAGATGAGCATCCACTTTTGTGAAGATTCGAATTGGAAACAATCCGAAACTTTGAGCAGCGGAGCGCATTACAGCTGAATTACCTGAAAAATTGGGACTTGGAATTTTTAAAAATCCGACAAAAAAAATCTGAACCGGGATCCAAAGGAAGCATGAATTTCATTTGAAAATGGGATTTTTAAAGATTTAAAATTCCTGACAGTACCCAAATTATCTCTCATGTCCTTGATATGATCAAATTTGACGAGCAGATAAGCTATCAGTGTGAAATTTCCAGTATTGGCTGCAATATGGAGAGGAGTTTCCCCATTCATATTTCTGATTGCTGGATTTGCACCGTTCTAAAAATAGGAACGAAAAAAAACTGATTTCCGAAAATTCTGAATACCTTGATAAGACAAATAACAGCTGCGATTTGTGAGTTATAGCATGCCCAGTGAAGAGGTGTTGATCGCATGTGACCTCCAATCAAATCCACATTTCCACCATGAGACAAAATTCTAGAAAAAAATAGATAATCTCAAAATCCCAATTCTTTCTCTCACAATTCAATGATCTCAATTTTGTTATTGATAGAGGCCCAATGAAGAAGACCGCATCCTTCGTGATCTAGTTCATTGGCAGTGACGTGACCATTTAGAAGAAATCGGACAGTTTGAATCTCTCCGAGTTGAGCTGCGCGAACAGCCATCTGAATTTTCGTCTCCTCCATTTCTGCGGCACTAAAATTCTCGTTGGCATTTTTTGGGCCACAGAATTTGGGACACCTGTTAGTATTCGTTGAAATGACTCCAGAAGAGGTTTCAGTTCTTTCTGTGATCGTTGATAGGGTTGGACGTCTCGACATGGGTACAATGGTGATTCATGCTGGCTGAGGAAGTGGGACAAACCGTTGGAAATTTATTAGAGTTCACGGCGAACTCACACATTTTTTTTTCGACTGAAATTCTTGACCGAAATTCTAAAAAGCGTGAATTACTGTATTCACTAATCTGCAGAGATGTCTGGAACGAATTGTTTGAGAAACGAAATTCGGAAAACGGAATCCGGAACGAAAAAAAGCGCGAACTCCGAAATTCGGACATCTCTGCTGATCTGTTGGATTTCTGTCTGAAAATTCGAAAATGAGAAAATGGAAACTGAAAAATTGTAATTTTTAAGGAATTCTATTTTTTAAATAAAGTCGCACATTTGGAGTTTCTGTGGTGGTACCAGGGATGAGAACTCGGAAAATGAGAACTGCTACATATGAGAACTCGTACGAATAAGAACTCGGAGAGTACATGGCAAACACGGATTTTTTTTTGGAAAATCTTGAAGTATTGTGAAGAACGAGACCATTTCGACAATATTTTTGAAAAAGGTTGGATCCTGAGCCTGAAATTAAAGCCGGAAAACGAGTTCTTATTTGTCTAGTTCTCCTTTTCCGAGTTCTCATCCCTGGTACCACCGTTTCTGTTATTCTAATTTTTGAAAGGACAATTACAATGGTTATTGACCATATCA